AATGTCAGAAGGGGAGTATTCTGTGTGAGTGGTAAAGGAGGCAAACAGAAGGAAATACTGGGTTTTTCCTTACACAGATATTGATTTGCTTTTTTCACTCTCATTTTTTATGAGTATACAGAGTTTTCCAAGAGCTACATGATGTGTGATACACAGCAACAGACTGAGTGAAGAAGCAGGCATGAGAATCCAGTTATCTTCTATTCAGCCAGACATTAAAGAAATTTGCAAAAATGTAAAACAATGCCACTCAGCTCACAAATGTTTTGGAAAATATAGTTATTTTCATGACAACACTGTTATTTGTATTAGTATGCGAAGGTTGTTTGCTGTTATTTCAAAATTAATAAGTATTTAATTTTTCTAGCTTTAATCCCGACATAGAAAATACCAATAGATACAACTCACATAAATGAAAGCTTCTGGGGAGTTCTCAAAAAATTTAAGAGTGAAAGGGGTCCTGAAACCAAAGAGTTTGAGCACTGATGTTTTAGAATCATCATCAGCACCTAGTTGGGTCACGCTCCCCAGCCGGTCAGTCACAGTTATCCTGTGCGCCCTCACCTGCCAGCAGTGCCCCACACTGGAGACTGGAGGAACTGTAGGGCTTCACCTGCTTGTGGTCCTAATACCTACTCGTTAGGACGTACCTTATCTTCAGAGGTCTGAGCATCAGCCAGGCAGCTCCCCCTTCTCTAAGTCCTGTAACACCACCTCGTTGTTTTGTCCTCCCATAATTAAATGAGGAAGAAACCATTTTAAAGATGAGAAAACATGCCCAGAGAGATTAAGTGACTTGCACATGGCAACACAGCTAGTTAGTAGGATGGCAGAGATTCAAACCTACGTAGTCTGGTTCCAAGGCCCAGGCATGTTGATTCAGTCCACATTTATTGGGCAATTACTTTGTGTCAGGTCCTGTTTTGATATTGAGGCTACAGGGAGAACAAATGAATGTCCTCAGCCCCACTAAACCATCTCTCCCACATCTCCATCCTCTCTCTCACTGGCAACGTTGTCTATCTCATCTTTCCCACCAAAAACAAAACCCCCAAAAAAACCCCACTTCCCGTGATCCCTCCACCCCCTCAAACTATGAATCTGGGTTTGTTTGTGGGTTCATCCATAATTTCAGAGACAAAAGGAGAGCCAGAACATGGGAACATGCTACTATCTTTTCAGCCTCTCCATCCAGTGGAATATGCCCAAGTCTCACCCATCTTAAAAAAATACATGTATATATATCACTCTCACTCCCCTGCTCCTATCCCAGTCCTGCCTCTCTTGGCCCTTCGTCAACAAACTTCTTGAAGCAAATGTCTGTATCATTTCTACTTCCACACGTCATACTCAATCCATGGCTCTCTGAAACTAGGCATTGACCCCCTAGTGCCCCAGAAATTAGAACCCACATTCTTCTCAGCGCCTCCTTTCTTCTTCACCTCCAAAGTTTTGGAAAGTGTTATCTACACTCTGCCTACACTCCCCTCTTCTTGTAAACCATTTGGGTCCCACATTATGGCACCTGCCCCACTGATCCTTTGAAATTGCCCTCACTGAAGGTATTAACACCTCCCTGCCCTTAAATCCAGAGGATACATCTCAAGTGTTGATAAGTTTGTCCATGCTCTCCTTGTGGAGACTTTTCCTCACTCTCTCCCAACACTGGCCTAGGTATCTCCCTTCCTCTCCCACTCCCCGGAGCCATGGGGCACTCTGGGAAGCTGGTACCAAGGGTGCTGGAGGAAGCTTCCTGGGGACCCACACCTTTCCAGACTTGCCCCCTAAAGACAAAACCAACCAGAAAGCAGGTCATCTAGGCATACTTAGGTGAGTAGTCAGCACGTCTGTTTGATGGACCAGTCTGGAGTTTAAAGATAGGGGCAGAACTTGACTATCTCAATCATGGAAAAGCAAGTGATGCCTTCAGATTTGTAGCTGACTAGGACTCAGAAGGAGGTAGCTTGTCCCTTCCTACCTAAGGACTCAGCCAAATACTTTACTTTCTGGAAATTGAAACCCAACTCCTCAAGCCAAGAAAGCTTCTATGCATGGAAAGAAGGACCAAATAAATTAAAAAATAAAATAAAAGAGAGAATGAAAGAAGAAAAAGAACAGGAAACAAGAGATACACAGTAGAGAGGGAATATTCATCAAATTTGTCCACTGTCTTTAGTCATCATAACGTTCCCCTTGGGAAGCCCAGCTGTTGTCAACACTATGAAGACTGGGCACTGTCACCACTGCCCAAGACCTAACCTCCAGAATATACAACCCATTCCCCACTCCTGTATTTATTTCTGCCCAGAAATGAGCACTGGAGGTGGAAGACGTCCTGGCTTTGTTACCTTCATGGAGATCCTGAATAGTACTCTCAATTCATTCTATAAAGCCACACATTCTTTCCATCATCATCTCCCAATAGATCAAGAAACACACAGCAAGGACATATTCAGGTCAAATGCTTTTCCTGAGTTTACCTGCTATTACATGCACATAAATACACCTTCTATGTTCATTCAGTCTCGTTTGTTAGGTGACCCTCCAGCCAAGGGACCCACCAGCTAAAGAGCACTGCAGTCAAAGGATTCACCTGATGAGGGATACCTGAGCTCAGAAATACAGAAAGCAGACAAGTTACAATATCAAAGCCACCTCAGACAAAAGATTCACTAGTCAAGAGGAACTTACCCCCAATCCAAGGTTCCCACCATCCGTGGGACCTGCCAGAAACCAATCTGCATTCTTCATCCGACCCAACCTTGAGTTCTGTCTCCCCTCACCTCATATTTTTTGCTCTGGAATATCTACCTTGCCCCTTAAAATGCTCTGAGCTAATTATTCATTCTATCAAGCAGAACACCATGCACTAGCTACCAACACAAGGAGAGGGCTCCAAATACGTGGACGGTAGCAAAGATCATCACAATGCCAACCACCAGAAATAGAAGTCCAAACACTTCTGTGCTCTGCATCTTGGTCCCAGAGTTGCCAAGGAAGATATGACACAGTCCAGCACTGGATGAGACACTTTTACTCACATAAAGAAGAGACAGAGCAGGACCAGCTCCAACAGTGGGTGTCTGGGTAGCAGGTGCAATTGGCCTTTATGAACTCCTCTTGCGCCACAGCAGAAAGACCCTGATGCCTCCTTCATGGAGTCTGAAATACTAAAAGCTGGGGTTGGGCCTGGGGGCACAGGCACTTAAGCGGAACAAAGGAATACACAATGAGCCCAAAATAGGGAAAGATATTCCCACAGGAGGTGATGAACCCTGAAGGCTGTGTGGGCTTTTTGGCTCTTGGTCAGAAAGTATTCCAGGCCCAAGGCCCATTCTTCTATGGCAAGCGGAGGATGAAAGACTATGCACATGAAGACATTCCCTGAAGACTTTCCTGACGCCTGGAGCGTGTCCCTTTCTGCTGTTCTTGGTGCTTCTAGGTCCATGCCTGTGCTTCAATACAGTTGTGTCTTTGACAAATCACCTTGGAATCTATATTTGTGCACTAGACTGTGTCATCTCCTACCCACTTACAAATTTCTACACACTGGCTCCTCACACCCTCCACTCCCCTAAAACAACCAGCAAAGGTAACTATCAGCTAAAACCCATCCATGCTAATGGATGGCATTAGCATCCATTGATAGTTCTTCCTTGAGTCAGTAATTACCATGGGTGCTTGAAATAGCTGCTAGTCTTCTAATGATCCATAACAAATGCCCTCAAACTTAATTAACTCACAGTTTTGATGATCAAAATGTCTAGGTTCTCTAGAACGCTCAGAATCTCACAAGGCTAAAATCCAGGTAGGTGTTGGCCAGTCTGTGTTCTCATTTGGAGCTAGGATCCTCTTCCAAACAAATACGGTTATGACAGAATTCAGATCCTTGCTCTTATAGATATAAAATAGGCCCCATTTCCTTGCTGGCTATCAGTTGGGAGCCACTTCAGCGAGGGGCTGCCTGCATTCCTTGACATGTGGCCTCCTCCATCTTCAAGCTATCTATGGAGAATCTCCCTTGACTGCACTCCACCACATGCCTTGAATCATTTTTGCCAGTAAGACCCAGTCCCTTTTAAGAACTCAACTGGATTATGGTTGTCCCATGGAGGATATTTTCCCTGTCTTAAAGTTAACTGACTGGGGAACTTAACTACCAAGTACCAAATCCCTCCACAGCAGCACATAGATTAATACTTGAATGAATGACAGGGAAAAGGTGTGTGTACACCAGGAAGCAGGATTCTTGGGGCCATCTTAGAATTCTGCCATCACCACCATGGTGATTTCCCATTTCCATCATTCCATCTACACTTATTAGATGGCATTCTACTTTAAGAAAGACCTTTTAGGGTGCCTGGGTGGCTCAGTCATTAAGTGTCTGCCTTTGGCTCAGGTCACGATCCCAAGGTCCTGGGACCAAGCCCTGCATCACATTGGGCTCTCTGCTCAGCGGGGAGCCTGCTTCTCCCTCTCCCACTCCCCCTGCTTGTGTTCCCTCTCTCGCTGTGTCTCTGTCAAATAAATAAAATCTTAAAAAAAAAAAAAAAAGACCTTCTTATTTTTCACCTTCTTTCTCTCTCGGTCAGTATGGACTAAAGAATTCTTTTCTAATTCAATATTTTATAATCTATTATTGACATTATTCCTTTTCCTTCCTTCCTGATTGTAAGTCTCCTAGTTTTCTTACTGGGCTTGTCTACTTCCTCTCTCCCACCATTCTCTGAGAGGCGACTCTGGTACCTCCCTGTGAGGCCTGCAGATAGGGCTCTGCGGCAGGGAGAAGCCAGGATCAGATCTTACAATGGCTCCCAACCAATCGCTATCAGGGCGGGTGGAGTCAACGTCCTAATAGAGGATGAAACCTGGCTCCAAGCTCAGAGTCCTGGAGAACGAGGGAATCGTGGGACCACGCCCCCTTATGCGGACAGCCAATGAGGACTTGAGGTGCTGGTTCCTCCATTGTGAAGAAGTGCCTTAAACCGCTGGAGTCCTGGGTTAGAACACCGGGAGGTATAGTAGGTTTGGCTCTCTGTTTTCAAGACACTCGGGATCTGTCTTTGTTTGAGTGGAAAGATCATGCCCCCAAAACCCGCCCCAGCCGATGCAGGCGCCTCACCAGCTGCAGGGGCCCCACCGGCTGCAGGGGCCCCACCGGCTGCAGGGACCCCACCGGCTGCAGGGGCCCCACCGGCTGCAGGGGCCCCACCGGCTGCAGGGACCCCACCGGCTGCAGGGGCCCCACCGGCTGCAGAGGCCCCACCGGCTGCAGGGGCCCCTGAAAAGCCGCCAGAGGAAATACAGACACCTGAAGAACTGGCATTTTACGCCCCAAATTACCTATGTTTGACCATCCTGGCTGTAATTTTCTTCCCTCCCGTGGGATTAATAGCTGTATTCTTCAGTTACAAGGTAAAACAATACCTGTGCCATGGCCCATCCTGCCCTCTACCAGCCCCTTGCACCTGCTTCCATCCTGGGACCCGGGTAGGGGTTTCCCCTCAGTGACCATTGGTCTCCAGCCCTTCCCCAAGGGTGTCACAAGGCTGGACTCAGGAGCCCACATCTAAAGCTCCCGTCCCTACAGACCTCGCAGGCCAACAAGAACAGCCAATGGGAAGACGCTTACATCAACTCAGGTCGAACTGGTTGGCTGGATGTATTCGCCATACTCATCGGTTTAGGCGTCATTTATGTCTATGTCCTATTTATGTGAAGGTCAAGCCAAGTAGTCCATGGGTTCACCCCAAATAGGACCCACCCACCAAGACACAAACCAGCCAAATCAGCCACCATGCAAGAAACCAACAGCTGAGACATCTTCTACCCAAGAAACCTATCAGCCAAGGAACTCAACATCCAAGCAACCCACTAGCCTAAGGACATCATACTACATCCTCTTGGCCTCCAGAGCCATCTTCATCCACCTTGGGGGTCCTCACTTTCATGCACTGGATGTGCTTAGCTCCTTGATACTGGGCTGCTCTTTCAGAAAAAGATTTATTTAAACGAATAAAAATGAAGGGAATGTTCCGGCTTCTCATGTGTGTGCATGTGGTGTGTGTTTCTGAGCTAGCATCTGTGTTTTGCTGGGGCTGTGTTTCCTGTCTCTGCTTTTTCTAGGAAAACAGAAATCTCCAGCTTTTGAGATCCCAAAATCAAACTGTTAGGGGGAAAATGGAAAGACTTCAAGAAATAAACAATAGATTTAGTGGAAGAGCTGATGAAGACCACCTCTCTCCCAGTCAAAGGTAAATGGTCCCTATTCATGGAATAGGGGAAGTGGAGAAAGAAAGATTAGATGCAAGTATATCCCTAAGGAGGTCCCTGAGGCCTGTGTCTCAGGAAGGGGTGAGGTGTCAAAGATCCCAGATACCACTTGTATTACCTCCTCACAAATAAGTCCTACAGAGGCTCCAAGATCACAAAGAAAATATGCTGCATGGTGTGGAGGTCTAGGAAGAAACGGCCTTAGACAGCCAAGTAGGATAAGCCCATATCTCAGCTTGGTGAAAAGGAGGTGGAGGCTACAGGAATGCCAAGTGCCAGGGTGGGAGTGATTATCAGAGGGGAGCCAGGGATAACACGGGAGCCATCCAGAATGAAGGAAAACAGAAATCTAGGCTGACACCATGGACAACAAACACCCAGGGATTCTTACTGGTACCTTAACTTCATGAACAAACCCCCAATCGGACCAGAACCTCTAGATTTAGCAGAATTAAGTTTCCATAGCCAGGAGAATGGGGATTAACAATAAAAAGAAGGTTGAGTCGCTGTGGAAAAGACTGCTCACTCTACCAAAGCTAAACTTTTCTTCCTGGGAGCACTACTCAGCCACATGTCCTACGTTCCCCTGTGTGGCCATGAGACTGTCTTTGGCTCAATGAAATGTGATCGGAAGTGATGCGTGCCACAAACCACACTGGTCTTTAAATACCCCATGGGCACTCTCTTCCATACTCTTCCTCCCCTAGCTGACTGGCCAAGTGACACACATGGTGATTTGAAGGCCACATGTCATAGAGAGGAAGAACTCCCATCAGGCTTGGCCTCTGAACTACTCTAGGAACAGTCACTCTTTCCCCAACTGCCTCCCATGGTTGAGCAGAAAATATGTGTTGCACCATCATGTGTCTGGTCTGTCTATTCCATAACTCAATCCACCCTAACCAATGAAGATGCAGGAAAGCAGAGTTACACTTCTCAGACATCTGGGGTTGTTACTTGAAATTCATGCCCAACAGACCCATCTCGTTGGGCGGTTTATAGGAAATAATGAGTGAAGGAAACAATAAAGAAAGGTCTTAGTCCAGAGTTAACCTTAATCTTAGCTGACATGATGCTGTGTCTCTCTCCTCCATGATCCTGGGTATCTGTGTGGATTACACGTGCCTATGGGACAATGCTCCAGGTTATGAGTGTATCTGGAGAGGGGATTATGCTGGATTGTCTGCTGTGTTAGTGGGTCTAGAGGGTCAGTCATCCCTGTCCCTCCCCAGACCAGCCCAGAAAGCTGGGCCTGTCACATTCAGCTGCAAAGCCATGTGGAGTCAGATGGCCCATGTCAGCATGAACAGCCAGGTCCAAAAAAGTCACATTGTGCTAGGAAACTTTGAAAGCCAGGCAATCTTCTCCATTTTAGCTCTCTGACTCCCTCTAACCTGTATTCCACTCTAAGGCATTCATATGGTTTTTACCACCACGTAAATATAAAACCAAACACAATTTATAGTCCTGTATCTTGAAACATCATCAGTTGAATTACTATAATGAAACAGGCAGACTTAACAAGTTTACCCACTCTTCTCTCTCCCCACTACTAAAGATCCCAATTTTTAACTCAAATTACAGGCTTTCCATTTCATTATGCCTATATAAGTCTGTTCCATTATTGGGCCATGATGTTGATTACATACTCTTGCTGGACGAATATTTTAACTCAGCAGCCAAGGAATCCATCTACCTGCAATCCTTCAGATTTTTCTTTTCTTTTTCCTCTCCCTCTCCTCCATCGCCTTCTCCTCCACATTCTGCCCCTCCTGTCCCTCGTCCTCCTGCTCATCCTCATCTTCCTCTACTGTTTGTTTTATTTGCTCAGTTATCTATGTGGCTTTTCACTAACTGTTTCCATTTCTCCAGAATTCCTCAAGGTCAAGTAGGTAAGGTAACTTTTTTTTAAAGATTTTATTTATTTCTTTGAGAGAGAGAGAGGTAGTGAGAGAGCACGAGCTAGGAGGAGAGGCAGAAGCAGTTTCCCTGCCAGCAGGGGGCCCAACTTGGGGCTCGATCCCAGGACCCTGAGATCATGACCTGAGCCGAAGGCAGACGCTTAACGGACTGACCCACCTGGGCGCCCCAGGTCAGGTAACTTTTCAATTCTCTTTTTCCCTTGGGTCTTTTCTTTTTTTTTTTTTTAAGATTTTATTTATTTATTTGACAGAGAGAGATACAGCGAGAGAGGGAACACGAGCAGGGGGAGTGGGAGAGGGAGAAGCAGGCTTCCTGCCGAGCAGGGAGCCCAATGCAGGGCTCGATCCCAGCACTCTGGGATCATGACCTGAGCCAAAAGCAGACGCTTAACGACTAAGCCACCCAGGCGCCCCTCCCTTGGGTCTTGAAACCCGTTTATTTCTTTATTTAGGATTTCTAATTTACACAACATTCACATAAATACATCCTCATAAAGAATCAAGCAATACAAAGAGTATGGAGGAGCTCACCTCATGGCTGGTCAAGACATCGTTTTCCCCCTCTTGAAGGTATTTGCTGTCAATATTTTGTCATAACTCTTTCTAGTTACCTTTCTGTGCATTGTGTCTACACACGTTGACATCACACGGTTTCTCTACTTACCACGAGGTGGTAAGCACCCAGTGATTATCTTTCCCTGTTAGTACTGAAGATCTTCAACACTGAATGCCCTGTATTCCACTTCTGCATAATCTCCCTCTGTCTTCTTCTGGTCCAAAAGGTACATTCCCATGTTCTCAGACCTGCCTTTCCTCCTCCAATGATAGCTCATGGGATTCCAGCCCCTGGAACGAACCTGCAGGCCCTTCTGTGTCCTGGGAGGATAGAATATCCCAAGCAGGACAAGGAGGAGAGTATCACTAGAATAAGCAGCTGCAGGAAAGCAAATTTTTTCTACACCATGAACTAGCTTGGCAAATTTTATTTCTGACCCTTGAAAACTTAACAAACTTTAGGACACTAAGACTGTGACATTATTACCATGCCCTATTATTATGATTCTTACAGTCTTCAATTCTGATAACCCATTTATTGTATCATCCTTGTGACAATACTTAAATTGCTGTCCTTATTTTCTGGAAGAAAGACATACTTTTGAATTTTCTTTGTTAAATCAGGAGGAGATTACTAGCATGAAACCCATGGATATGTGGATTAGAAAGAGAAAAACAATACTTCCCCACTCAAAAAACACTCTCCAATAACCCATGATAGAACTGGATTTCTTATTTAAATGAACAGTTTGAGAATCTGAGTCTCATTTAAATCAAGAGTACACTGGGTCTCTAATTTTAAAAATGTTTTTATTGAAGGGTATAAGTATACAACTCTTACGTGTATGACAATGAACTTCCACAAACTTTCACAAAACACACATCTATGTATGTAACCTGCTCCTGAAACAAGACACAGACTAGAAGACCTCTGTGCCCTCTTCCAGTCACTTACCCACAAAAGATAAGCCCTACCCTAACCTTCTCTCCTTTTTTTTTTAAAAGATTCTATTTATTTATTTATTTGAGAGAGAGAGAGCATGAGCAGAGGCAGAGGGAGAAACAGGCTCCCCACTGAGCAAGGAGTCTGGTGCGGGGCTCGATCCCAGGACCCTGGGATCACGACCTGAGCCGAAGGCAGACACTTAACCAACTGAGCCACCCAGGCATCCCCTTCTCTCCCTTTTTTAAAATAACGGCCTGGTGGGCTACATCAGGGATTGCCAATTTTACTATCAGGACCTTCCTGTTGATCTAAAGATTATTCCTATCTTTTGGCTGCCACAAACAATTCTGCAAAGAAATCCATGAGCATGCTTCTCTGTTCACATGAGCAAGTATTTCTCTAGGATAGAGTAAGAAGTGGGATTACAGGGTTGAAGCATAAAGGGCTTTGGACACTTCAGTGGCTAACACAACGATGACTTCTGCAAAGGCTTCATCAAATCACACTCCCAGCCCCAGTGTTTGAAAGAATCACTCTCTGCCTTCTTGGCAGCACACGATATCATCAATCCTATGAATTCCTGTCAATTTGATGAATGAGAAGTGATAGCTCCTTATTGCTTTAATTTGTGTTTCTCTGATGAGTAGTGAATTTGAGCATTGCTATGGACTGAATTGTGTCCCTCCAAAACTGATACTTTTCTTTATTAAGTTTCTTTTTTAATGGCAGCATAGTTAACATATAGTGTCATATTAGTTACAGGTGTACAATACAATGATTCAACAATTCTATACATGACTCAGTGATCATCCTGGTAAGGGTACTCTTCATCCCCATCACCTATTTCACCCATACCCCCATCCACCTCCCCTCTGCTAACCACCAGTTTGTTCTCTATAGTTTAGAATCTGTTTCTTGGTTTGTATCCCTCTTTTTTTTTTCTTTGCTCATTTGTTTTGTTTCTTAAATTCCACATATAAGTGAAATCATATGGTATTTGTCTTTCTCTGACTTATTTCACTTAGCACAATACTCTTTAGCTCCATCCATGTTGTTGCAAATGGCAAGATTTCATTCTTTTTTATGGCTGAGTAATATTCCAGTATATGTGTGTGTGTGTGTGTGTGTGTGTGTGTGTGGTATATATATACCACATCTTCTTTATTTCTTTATCCATTCATCTATCGACAAGTGCTTGGGTTGCTTCCATAATTTGGTTATTGTAAATAATGCTGCAAAAAACATACATGTGCATGGAGGCCTTTAAATTAGAGTTTTTGTCTTTGGGGGTAAATACCCAGTGGTGTGAGTACTGGATCGTAAGGTAGTTCTACAAAAT